CAATCAGTCAAACGATTCTAAACACTAAAAATGAAGAATCGATATCTTGAAAACAACAACAACAAAACAAAACCAAAAAAAAAACAGGCCGACAATAAACATAAAAACAAAAACAAATAAACAATCGACAATGACTGTGATCGACACACACACACACACACAAACACACAGACAGACAAATAACCACCAAAATATTACAATGAGGTCCAAGAGGTAAACACAAGGGCCATGTCAAAATAAAAATCAAGCAAATGAGAAACCAAACCAGACAACAACCCAATAATATCAATGACTAGACGCGACTGTATCATTTGATTCTGGCTCACCACCCGTTGTGACTTGTCGTTCAATCGTTTGATTGTTTGTGACGTGGTCCAGACAACCAACAACAACAACAACATTGACTAGGGAAAAACGAACAATTCATTCTGACTTTTTCAAAAAAAGGATGAGAAATAATTATTGTTATATATACCTGCCCGGTATGAATATGTATATCATGGCTATATAATCATCATCATCATCATCATTACATCGTATATTTGAATGAAATGCAAGTTTTTACTACCTTTGATCGATTCATAACTTGACGACTTGAGTTTAAATTTAAATTTTGAATGAACCATTCTAGTTTGGTGAAAAATAATGGTTACACATGGTACAAATAGTGTACACAATGAATGGTGGTAATACAACAAACCATTCACAACAACAGGCTACCAATTATCTATCAATTCAAACACACACGACCAACGATAGAATCAACGAACGAAAAACAAAATGTGAAAAAGGCCCCTATGTATGTATCAACACAAGGTAAACAGACAGACACAAAATGGTTTTTTTTTGTTTCAATCATCATTCTCATTGTTTGTTTTTGGCTAGATTTTGCCAGCTTTGCGCTAACAAGGTAATCATCATCATCTGCTTAGTTACCACCAACATGCTACCAGGTAAAAAGAGTGAAATTGATGATGTTGAAAACCAAAAAAAGCGAATAAAAACAAAAATTTTGCGGACTCCACTCACGCATTTTGTTTGTTTTTGTTTTTAGTTGGAATCAAAACAAACGAAAATAAAAATCATAAATTCTGGTGGTGGTGGTGGTGGTTACGGATGGATTGTGATTGTGTGTGGCCATAGACGATAACGATATTTGCCTCTTTTTCACAAACAATTTCTGACCAACAAATTTTGTTGTTGTTGTCGTTTTTCATTTGAAAATCAATGATCATCAACATTTGTTTCTCTTGAATATGGCTACACTGACATTGATACTGACAAACAAATAATTGATGCGGCTTCAAATTCATACTGTTTTTGTTTTTGTTGATGGCCGCCAATTGGCGCCATACTTCTAGTGAAGTCGATAATTTTTTTTCGGTGGTAAGAATATTGTTGTTGTCGTTGTTTTGTTGAATTTATTGATTTTCACACACACAAAAAAAATCAATTTTTATTTTATTTGATGATTCAAAGGAAAAAAACCTAAAAAAATTTATGCAAAACGTAGTGACCACCACGAAAAAATAAGCGAGATGGTCAATAAAAACAAAGTAAACAAAAAAAAATGTGACAAAAAAACACAATTCTAGAATCCAGAATTCTTTCAAACAAACCAAGAATTTTCTAAAACAAGAATAATCTATCCACAATTGAGTCGCAGAACAAAACAGAACAACGAACAAACACAAAAGCCAATCATATAAACAAATGTGAATGTAAACAAATTAACACACACAGTGAGTGCGGCAGAGACAAATTAGATTAGATAACTTTTTTTTCTGCTTCAATTCAAAGTTTGTTTTTTTTTGTGTGTATGACACCAACAACGAAAATAGAATGATGATGAAAACATCCAAAAAGCTTAATCTTCGATTTGGGATTAGAGAAAACAAAAAAAAAATTTTTTTTATTCATCACGTTGTTGTTTGTTTGATGATTCATTCGAATGGAATTAAATTCCGTACACAATTTTCATATAAAAACACACACACCACAAACTATCTATTCATACACCATTAATGTTTCTGTACGTGTTTTTGTTGTTGTTGTTGTTGTTGTTGTTTACTTTGTTGATATATTCAATTTGTAGATTTTCAAATTTAATTTGTCTTGTTTGCATAGAGACAAAGAAGAAAAACGTATGTTTAAACATTGAATGAAACAAATGTTTGCATACACACACACACACAGAAAAACGTGGAATTAATTATCTTTTCTCTGTGTGTGTGTGTGTAGATTTGCATATTAATTCTCATTGTTTTTTGGAAATACAAATGATGAAGATGTGCATGTTTGCATCTCATCATCGACACTTGGTTTTTTTTGTATTCAAAAATTGAAAATTTTCTCTCTTTCTCAGTTTGGATAACACCTACCTGGTCGAATATTTAATCAATCGATCAGCAAGAGAAGATAATCACCAAAATAATAAATTGAACTACTACTACTACTAGTGCTGTTGTTGTCAAATACTAATGGATTTTGTGTCTCGATCAAACAAACAGAAAATGGATTCTCACTTGAATGAATTTTTTTCATTTCATTTATTCAATACAACAAACAACAAAATAAATTCGATGACACCCTGAATGAATATCATCATCATCCTCATAATGATGATGACAATTTGGTCTACATGGGACAGTGAGAGAGAGAGAAAAAAAATTTTTATTCGGGTGTTAAGAAATGCATCCATCCATGTATATCGAGAGAAAACAAATTTTAAAGTGTCGAAAAAACCTCATGTCACACATATGTTGCAGCAGCAGAAATGGTGACAATCGAAAAAAAACTACAGACAAGGGTCAAAACAAAACAAAACAAAAAAAATTTCTGGATCATCATTGACGACGACTACGACGACGACATAGAAATCGACACCGACGATCACATTGTCATTGCCGACAAACATACAAACACCAGGACCAGACAAAGACTAGATTAATTTAATTTGATCAATTGAACCAAAAGAGAAAAAAAATGGGAATGGTTTCAGGTTAATCGATATTATCATCTCTTAAATGGGCCATACACAAACACACACATTATAGTGGATATTGCCGCTTACCAATGAAAGAAAAAAAATGGCTGAAATGCCAATGATCAATCAGGCAATTAATATGTTTTTGAATGAACAAAAAAAGAAGAAGAGTTTTACATTGAAACCTCGAAAGTTTCATTGTATTTGTGCGTTTGGTAATGGATCCACGAAAACGAAAATTGGTTTCCAATTCAATTGTTGCTGTTGTTGTTATCTTGGGCTGTTTGTTTCACCAATGATGGTGGATCAACAAAAAAACAAGCGTGATATACCCATATGGAAAACAAACCGGCCTTTTACGACACACACAAATACACATGGGCAGATTAATAGATTTGAATACAAAAAAATCATCACCATCATCATGAGGAAAAAATGGACAAACCAACGAGCTTGTGTCCAAATGTCTCGTTATCATTATCATGATCAAAGTGCAGTAAAGTAAAGTAGTCGTTTCCGACTGATTATAAACAAACGCTGGTGAATATCATGATCATGATGATGACAACCGACATTAAAAATCATTCAACCTAAGCAACAACAGAAAAAAGTTTTTTTCATTCATTTTGATAGAAAGCTACTGTGTGTAGTTTTTGTTTAATTTTTTTCACCCATCTCTCTCTCTCTCTCTCTCTCATCAATAAAAAAACAAACAAAATTTCAAGGTAATATCATGTGTGAAACACAAACACAAAAGTGATAATAACCGACAGGATTTGAGAAAAGGATGTAAAGAAAAAAAAGTAACATTAAAATGTGAATCATTGACATTTATCATCGATACACACACACACACACACACACAGTGTAATTATTACGAGACAAACAATCAGGCAGATAGCAAGGTGTGTGAAAAGGTGAAATTTTGTGACAAAAAATGCCTGCATAACAAACAAAATAAAAGAAGAAAAATGTAATAAAAACCAGGTAATAAAAAAACGACACATTGTTGTTGTTGTTATTTTAAGAAGCAACAACAACAACAAAAATGTTTCGTCTTTGTTTTTTTGACTTGAAAAAAATTTACATAAAACAAACAAAACACCCTTATAAGTGGTGGTGGTGTTGTTATAAACAAGAAATGACCAATCAACTTGGATTACCATCATCAATGATGAGTGTTAAGCTCATGTCATTTGGATTTCATTGAGTTTTTTTTCCAAAGAATTTCTTTCATTTCTTCACTTTCTTTACATAGGTTCATTGAATGTGTCCAATCAAATCATCATCAACAAAATCGTTTGTTGCTGATGATGATAATGGTCAATGTCAACGGCCCATTATCAAATTGTGAATATTTTTTTTTTAAAGATGCAAAAAAATGAAATTCCATTCACACAAAAAAGGTGTGGTTTTTTTGTTGGAACAATCAATCTACGCCGGCGCATTAATCAATCAATCAATCGCTATAGTGTGACCGAAAAAAATTATCAAAAAAGGACAAAACAAAACACAAAACTATTAGAGATTTGATCATTTGTCGGCATCGACAACGACGGATATATGACTTACATCATAATACACAATGGTGGAATTTTTAGAAATATATAGTCTAGACATGAGTAGACGATCAATTTCAATCTGTGTTTTTTTTTTGGTTGCAAACAAGAGGAAAGAATTTGTTCCGTGACTAAAGAAGACCGACTGATTGACCGACGGGTCTTTGTGTGGTCGACAACTATTCGTTCGTGTCAATGAATGAATTAATGTGAATGAAAACAAGAAAAATTGTCGTCAAAAAAGAGTTAAATACCGAAGACTCGAATTGACGTCCAACAGAGAAACAATAGTTAAGGGAAAAAATTTTCATTTTTTCTTAAAACAATCATCTATTGATTATAATCTTTCAGGCAAAAGTCTTAATGTCATTTATTACTACTATTCAAAGTGTTTTGTGTGTGTGTGTGTGCTGGTGTTCTGTATTTGTAGAAAAATTAAATTCGTCAAAACTTACCTTCGTCCGGATTTAGTGATAACCATTTCGGTGCCTAACGAATGAAATTTTTCCCATAAATCTTTCGATTCCAACGTTACTTTTGGATCATCTTCAACGCCGTCATCTTCTGGTTCAAATGGCGGTAGTGTTGGTGGTGGTCTTGGTATAGTCGCGCTCGTTGGTGGTGTTGTTCTCGCTGTCGTTGTTGTTGATGATGATGATGATGTTGTTGTTGTTATTGATGTTGTACCGGAAGCATTTGCAGCGGCGGCTGCTGCGGCCGCTGCTGCTGCAGCAGCAGCCATCTGATGTGATACAAGTAAATCTTCAGCAGTCAAAAATGGTGAATGAGTTCCATTGGTTGATGGTGGTGGGCCATTATTACTGATAATTGCTGTTGGATCACCACCACCACCGGTTCCGGTTGTAATAGATGATTGTGGTGTAGCCGATGATGGTGTACCAGTCATTTTACCGAAAAAATTGGCTGATCCAGCCATTGGACCACCACCACCAAATGCAGCTAATGCAGAAAGATATGCTGATTGTGATGGTTGATTAGCTGCTGCAGCTGCTAATCTATAATTAAGATCAGCAGCACGTAAAAGAAATGGCTGCAATGGATAGGCCATCTCATCCAACGATTCGTTTGCGTGATGAGGTTCTACATCTAAAAGATATTTCATGAGTGGATTTTATTAAAATTTTTAATTTCTTGATGATTATGGTGATGACGATCAGAGATTAAATCAATGAAAATTTAAATCAATGATGATTATTATTCTATGAAAAAATAACAAAAACACAACACGCACTATAATTTTTGACCAGAGAAAAATTTACACAAAAAAACATGCAAATAAGGTAGAAATAAAATTCGATTGAAGAATCACACAAATTTTTCAAACAATCAAAATCAAGAATTCAATTTCAAAATTCAAAAAGATTTTCAGGATTTTGTTGTTGCTGAGTTTTGAGAATTCACTCAAATGATGATGATGTGATCTGCGTGTGTGCAAATGAACAAATGTTTGTGTATCCTGTGTGTGTGTGTGTGATAGTGATGAGTATAATGGTGTGGTGTTCTTGTAAAAATTATCTATCACACACACAAAATGTGTTGTGTTGTTGTTGTTCATCAATTTGCTTGCTTTCTTGCTTTGCCGTGTATATGTGTTGAATTGGTGTGTTTGTGTCTGTGTGTGTGTGTGAAAAAAATCGCAGCTTCTGTGTCGATATCTTCACTTTAGAAAATTTTACTTCATACTTTTTTTCTGTGCATGTATGTGTGGGGCTTCACTTTATTTTATTTTTGTTGTTGTTGTTGTTATTACACATATACATTGATAGATAGATAGATAGAGTCTCTCTCTCTCTCTTTCTTCATTTTATGTGAATCTTTGCTCTCACACACATATCACACCATTTTTTTTGTTGAAAAAAAGGCTGCTGCCATGATCATCACACCATCATTCTCTAGTTGTTGTTGTTGTAATCGTAGCCGTTACCGCCATCCATGTAACATTTACCGCGCTAAAATTCACTCTATCTCTATCTATCTCTCACTTATTCTCTCGTTTCATAAAATGTGTGTGTGTAACAATGATGGACAATGGCAGCAGCAGCAGCAAATATATAAAAACGACGATAACTGGACAAGAATTTGCAAAGTGTGAGATGATATCGATGATATGATAGTGAATGATGGACGATATCGACACACACACACAAACACGTATATATGACAGAATAGACGGACAACAAGAATTGGCTTCTACTGCCACTTCAAATTGATTCAATCGAATCGAGAATATTTGATGTGTGGAAATCGAGTTTATTTTTTTTCGAAAAATGAATTTTCAATTTTTTTGAATCAGTCAGAATGTGAAAAGATGTGTTGTGTGTCTATGTGTGGGAAATGGAATCACTTACTTTTACACGGCTTGTTTGTATATTTCTCTCTCTCTCTCCTCTCTCTCTTTCTTTCACTCACTTAATCATCATCCTCATTCTGTTTGTTTGTGCTCTCATTCGCAATAATGATAAAAGCGTGAACCAACCAACACCATTTGTGTGGCTATAGCTGTCTGCTAGTTTAAGATGTGCTAGAGACTTCCCACTTTTTTTGCAAATGTTATATGCGTGTTTGTTTAGAAAAAGCGCCAAGAGAGAGAGAGAGAGAGAGAGAGAGAGAAAAGAAACAGAATGTAAAAAATGATTGTATGTATGTGCGATTGAGTGAAAAATGTAATAAAATAAAATGGAATTATATGTGGAGGGAGAGCGTTCACTCTAATATTGTGAATTTTTGTGTGTGTGAATCACTGAAAAAAAGCGTGAAACAACACACATACACACACACACACATTTTATTCTCTCACCAAAAGTGCTAGGAGTGTGATTTGGCAAAACACCACCACCACCAGCATTATCTGTTACTACCACCACCACCAGCATCAGCATCAGCATCAGCATTAACCACCACTGCTTTTTTTCATAACACCAAAAAATAAATAGGGTCCACAAACACACGTCGACGTATAATTTAGTGTCACACCAAAATTTCCAGTCCCCACACTTCCTTCCCCATTGACAGTAGTGTTAGAACCTTTTCAAATGCGCGCTATGTTTTTGAGTGTTTTGGAACAACCGCGGCCAAAAAAAATAAATCTCGACTATTTTTGGGCTCACAAGAAAAGGAAAATCGGGTTACATCCGTTTACATTTGGTTTTGTTATATATAGCATACATAAACACACTCCCTTTTTAGATGATGACCGAAATCAAGTTGACCATCCTTATTGGTAATTTTAGTATTGTTTCACTTGAAATAATTCTCAAGTGACCCGAATAGAGTGAGTTTGAGAGAGAGAGGAAATAAAATCATCTCAGCATCTCATCCAATTTCACATGAATTTATTAATAAGTTATGTTCCCGTTAGTGTAGTATTGTGTGGAACAAGAAAAAAAAGTTTTTCCGACACAAACGACGAGAATGGATCGATAAAAAAATGTTTTTTTTCATGTTTATTCGAATCTTTTTCGGTCTCTTTTTTCGGAGATTTTATTCCACACACACACACACGTCATCTTTTCACTTCAGTTGTGAAGTGAATGAATCACACACACTATTTTTCAAACAAAGTGTTTAATCCCACCCATTTCACAAAATAACGACCGCCTTCTCTTCTTTCTACTACTTTAACGCTTAAACAAATGTGTGTATGAACTCTCTAGCACTCACAATGCACCAAACAACAACACAATTTGGTATTTATTGAAAAAAAATAAAGGCGTTTATGGCAAGCTAATTAGGCGGGTACACACATACACTGATACTAACATACTTTTTTTCTACTTATTTTCAACAATGGTAATATACAAGAGTCATAATAATAAAAATAAAATAAAAATCAGAATCGGAATTTCTTCTTCTTTTTGATGATGACGCATTCATCGATTGGTGGTGTATGTGGCAATATGATGAACAACAACAACAACAACAACCACTGCGTGTTTGGGTTATTATTATATTCTAAATGGGGGTAAAATTTTTTACTAAAAAGATGAGCAGCACCATTGATGATGATGATGATGATCGGTCTCGGTTCGGTTATTGCCCATTTAATATCATTGTGTGTGTGTGTGTGATATTTTTTCATTCGCCATTCATGAATGAATTTTAAAGGAGAAAAAAGCAACTGGAACAATTCAATTCCATTGCTTGATGATGTTATCAAAACATAAAAAAACGAAAATGAACGGAAAAAGAAATCCTATACAATCGATTCGATTGGATTTTTTTTCTTTTTTTGGTTTCGATTCAGTCACACACACACACACACGACATATACCGAAGAATAAACAACAACAAAAATTCGTCCGTTTTACATGACTGAATTTCAAATATCAGAATCAGAAAAATTCTTTGAATTACGCAAGCGTCGGCTGTTTTTTTTATAGCCACAAAAGTTCAACAACAGCATGACAATCTTTCTTTCATTCTTTTTGCTGTTACACAATGGAAAAAATCTTGGTTCTGGTTTTTTTGCAAAAATAATAATAAAGCTGCTGCTGCTTATGATGTTCTGGTTATGTGTGTGTGTGTGTGCGTATTTGGCATCAATGAAAAATATCATTCGACACATATACCACCACACCAAAAAAATGTAATGATGATGATGATGATCAAGGCGTTATAAATAAAAATTGCAATTCTCGCCCATCACCATCAAATCTCTTTTTTTAATATTTCAATGTGAATGGCTTCTTCATCATCATCATCAATGATAAATTAATGATGATAATACTAAAAGCTTAGCCTTTTGGGTTAGGAATTTTTTTTTGCCCTCTAGAATGGTTCTTAAATCAAATAAAACAAAATAAATCATCATCATCATCATTGAAGCAAACTTGTTACTTTCGCTGCTGCTAGCAGTATTTCTTTTTATAATTGAGCTAATTATTCGTTTGATGAAAAAATGAATTATTCGGTTCGTTAGAATGAAAAAGAAATTGTTATCATCAAAAAATGAATCTATGTTGTTGTTTTATTTCTGGGTGACAAATAAATTATCAACAATAATTATTTAGAATTTTTTCATACTTCTATGACAAGATTTTTGCCGCAAGATAACAGAATTCTCTCGTTCTCTCTCTCAATGTATTAGTGTGCGTCATTCATATTCCATAGAATTTTTTGAATATCTATGTCGATGATGATGATGATGGTGATTGTCATGCAATTCAATATTCAGACAGGATTGGTGGTAGCCGACACGCATATATTTATATAAAAGAATTCTATGGAATATTCTAATTTTATTGTACTGTGGAATATGTTTTTGCTGACAATGTCTTTTTATATTCTGGAATTTAAAAAATTCTTTATATTTTCATAGCTTCTTCTTCATTATAAATTAATGTGAGTTTTTGAGAATTTTTTTTCTTTTTTGGGAACACAAATCAAACAAATAATTTCAATTCGGTCAATCGATGAGGATGATGTTTGGAAATGTTTTGTGCACACACACACACAAATGTTTATTGATTTCAAATTTATGGCCAAAAACAAACCGAAAAAAAACATTCACACAGTGTGTGTCTGTGTGTTGGTTTGGTTTTTTATTAGACAAAAAAAAAAAAAGAAAGCCAGAACACAGAAACTGCAACAGCAAGCATCATTATTGAATGAAATGTTTTTTTTCTGCTGCAGAATCTGGAATTGAAATTTTTTGCTTTGCTAGAAGAGTGCGTTTTCAAAAATCGAATTGAATTGAATAAACAAAATCTGATTATACCAGAAACTACGACGACGATGATGATGATGATGTTTTTGGAATCGAGTATCATCATTTAAATGTCACCAGAATATCTCTGAATTTTTTTTTCGCAAAGAATTAAAATCAGTAGTAGCAGCCGTACTAATAGTAAAAGTGAAAAGACCAAATTCGTGTCCATTAGCAACGATTAGAACGTTTGTTATCGGTATGCCTGAGAGCAGCAACGAACGATTCCAGAGCTTCCGAAAAAAAATTTATGGACCAAAAATGAATGAATGAATCGGGGTTTATATTCGGTGGATTCGGATGAAAACACACAAACATAACAGCAACACACTACTACTAACCAAAACAAAACGAATCAACTGATTTTATTTGACCCTTAAAACCAGCGTAAAAATGGCCATTTAATGGCCCTGAAATAATTTTTTCGATCTGTTTTCGGGACATGGACCAAAAACAAAAAAAAGTCATTATTGTGAAAACACACATCAAACACAAAGCAGCATTGCATGTGCCAGTAGCCATACAATAGAAATGACAATAAAAAAAAGAGTTAAATTGTTCAAAAGGTCAATGAGAAAGTGATTGTGTATTGCCTGTATATGAACCCTCGGTCAACAATTCAATGATGATGATGATGATACCACACGATTGTTTCTGGTGAAATGGAAAGGAAATGTCAAAACCATGAAATGAAATGAAATGAAAATTTCATTTGTGTAGATTGAAAGAGATACACACGATTTGATCAAATGAATGTACAAAATTGAATCCGTGAAAATTTGCGAATGACACAGACAGAATATAACGAAATGGCCATAGAATTTTTTTCAATCAAATTGATTAAAATGAAGCGAATGAAAAAGTAATTGATAAAGTATCAGTTTACAAGAAAAAAATATTAATTAAATTAAAGTCAAGTGAAAAGAATATTCTGTTTTTATCAACGAATCATCAATCAATGGAGATAAATAAACCTACAAAATAAACATGGAATACTCATGCGCGATTCGATTTTTTTTAAATTTGCCATAAAAATCCAAAAAAATCATGATCATCATCTGCTTCTGTTATATCGACGCAATTTTTTTTCACTCGGGTTTCAGGTTTCCATTATACACACACGACACATACTAATTAATATCATCATTGGTGTGTATGTGTATTTCATACCACCCAAAAAAAATCATCATCATCATCGTCATAACTGTAAATAACATGTTTTTTGTGTGTGTGTGTGTGTGTATGTATTAATAGATCAACAACAAAGATTAGATTACCAGAAAATATAAAGAGAGGAAAACAACAAAGTTGCTTGCTATGATCCCTCTCCCTCTCTGTATGTTTAACCAGAAAAAAACACAGTAGATTAAACTCTTGATGAAATTTGAATCCCTCTGTGCGTGTGTAGATATATTCTATCCATCTGCTGCTGTTGTTGGTGAGGGGATCCAATGTTTTTTTTTCGCTGCTATAGATGGATAGAATCCATAAAATAAAGACAAATCTCTCGTACTCTTTCGATTCTATGTGGTGTTGAGATATATAGTCAGGTTTTTTTTGCGCGTATGGATTGAAAACAATAAGGTAATTCTGTGAAATGAAATGAAAGAAGAAAAAAAAACAAAATCAAGTAATCAACGTGACCGAACAACAACATAATTATAATTATCACACACAGAGAATAAAATGATTGCAATCGTCACCGCCACCATCAACAACTGTCATCATCGTTATTTTTGTTGATCTACAATGACGATGGACACACACACACACACAACCATCGTGATTGTCAAAAGAATGATGGTGGTAAGATAGAGAATAACAAAAAATAATCTTGCCCCCCATTTGGGATGAATGAAAAAAAATCTCGAAAAAACGACAACAATCTTTCAAGGTGAAGCAGCAATAAACACACATCATTAGTAGTGGAATAATTTTTTTCATTTCATTTCATATTTCGGTCTTGTCACATTTTTTTTCTCTATCTCTCCATTATCTCGTTGTTGGTTTTTTTTTTGTTTCATTCAAAATTCAACACACACATTCAGGTTATAATATACCGTAAACAACAACATTGTAAACAAAACAAAAAAAAACAAAAAAAAAATTCTAACCTGAATGGATCCATCATTCATTCATTTATAATTGTGGTGTACATAATGATAATGATGATGGCCATAATAATGATGATGATGATGATGATAATGTTGATAAACAGCCGGCTTCATTTTCGATTCATTGTTTCGTTTGTTGATTTGAGAGGTGATGGTTGAATTTCATTGTATAAAATAAAAAAAAATATTTTTCGGTGTTTGTACCAGTCACATACAGTGTCAGTGTTTAGCCGGCGGTTTTTTCCCCTCCATATACATTTGGATAGAATATTTTGTTGTTGTTGTTGTTGAAGTCATTCATTTCATATTTCAAGGATACTGTTTTTTTCTTTGGATTTCAATGATGATAGTGGATGGTGAAAATAAGTAGTAATAAACATGATGATGATGGCTGCCAGATTCGAGAAAATATGAAATTTTTTTTCCAAATGTCAATGATGAATGGAATGAATGAATGGGAAAAAATTGACGCCATTGAATATATTGGATACTGGTCGTTGTTTGTTTATTTGTTTGTTTGTTGTTCATGGATCCATCATCATTGAATCTGATATCGGTTTGATTTATTTCCATCTTGATGATGGTGATCAAAAATAGTTGATTTTCCAATTATATAACAGCCATATAAAATGAAAATAAACAGCTGGTTGGCATTGTTTGTTTGTGTGTAAGAGAGTGATGGTGGTGATGGTGAATAAATACCGTATCACAAAATAAATTTCAAATTCAAAAATCATCACTGATAATGATAATGATGATGTTGATGATAATGATATATTCTCTATTCGGATCTAGTTCACCACCATCCATAATCATAATTTATAAATAATAATCCATTATCGTTCTTATGATCATGATGAAAATAATGATGGTGAGATTATAATCTTCAACAACAACAAACAAAAAAAAACATTTAACACTTTTTATTCCAGATTTTTATATTTTCAGTGCAAACAGTAATTTGGGCCAGATGAAAAAAAAAAAACAATCGATAGTTTACGAAATTGGAATCGATTGTTTTTCTGGGAAAAAATTCCCCTTTTTTTCTGTTGTTTTTGATTATAAATTACAGAAAAATTAGAATTCAAACTTACAAATACAAGAAAAAAACAATCGAATTGGATTTATAAAAAAACGATAAGGAAAACAAAATAATGGTAATGATTCGACAACAATAGGGCCTGAGCATAATGAATATTTATCTTTTTTTTCTCCAAGATTCGATTATTGTTATTATCATCATCATCATTATGATGAACATGATCATTCATTAAGATTCGATGGACACAAATCCTTGAAATTCAATTTAAATTTTTTTCTTTTCCATGCGGTGAAAAAATACGTTGTCTCTAAAATGATTTTTTTGTTGTTGTTTGTTTGTTTGTTCCATTGATGGATTGGCAAAAACATTTCAATTATAGACATTGGTCTATGATCATTTTTTTTGTAAAAAAAATGATTCTTTGTCATTTGTCGTATGTTGTTATCATCATCATCATCATACAATTATCCATCAGATTATCATCATTATGATGACCAAAACATAAAAACAAAATGAATATAATTTGTCCCCTTTTTCATTCATCATTACTAATGATCATCATATATCCAAAATGAATAAATAAATGACAAATGTATGGAAATGTTTTGTATATATAGAATTTTAACCCATTATTGAAAATTGAAATTGAATTGATAATCTCTTATGGTTTGTTTGTTTGTTAGTTTGTTTGTAATAAATGAAAATGATCCATTGAATGAAATAACAGACAATTATTATTATTTGTGCATGTCCATTTAAGATGAAATTAAATAAAGAACAAATTCACTATAACAAATGGACAATTACATCAAAATGGTGGTTAAAAGTCCTGAATTAAGAAATCATTATCCAATGAAAAGTAGTAGGAGGAGAAGGAGAAAAAAAATGTCAATGAATAAACAACATGAACATGAATAGGGCGGATTTGAACCGTTTTTTTTCATTGATGATGATGATTATGATTATCATTGAAGCAAATCATATGAAAAATCTTGCCAGTGGCCACATAAAAAACAATGTCGAATCAAAATAAAAAAAAGATTCTCATCATCATTTTCATTGATATTCGATCATTATTGTCAATTATGACGAAATGAATGGTTGAATAATCAGAATAATAATAATGATCAATGTGGAATAATTAAGACGACAAAACAACAATTCTTTTTTAGAGAACAGAACAAGACAACTTTATTTGAAAAAAAAAAAGAATTACAAATACAAATACACAGATAGATAAATACTATTTATCGACGTTTTGATGATGATTTTGGATGAATGACTGTAACGGCCGATCGGCCATGAATGGTTAGATCAAGAAATTGTCCATCACCATCATCATTACCATCGTTATTGTCCCGATCATTCAATGTTTTAGTAGTAATTTGTCCATTAACAGAATTTATTGTTGCTGTCGGACGAGAAGAGGCTATTTGTCTCATATTACCTGTCGTCTTCGATGATGATGATCGTTGATATTGATCCATCAATGGATTATTTGCTATTGTTTCACCATCATCATTTATAATATCCGAATCATTTGCATTCAAATTATTATTATCAGCATCATCATAGGCAAGTATCGATAATATCGATGGTGATGATGATGATGAGTATAAATTCGATGCGGCGTTAGTCGTTGCTGTTGATGCTGATTTTATCGATGATGATGATGATGGTGGTGGCAATTGTGGTCGAACCAGCATTGTTGTCGTTGGAACACTATCACCATCACCACCATTTTTTTCAAATGAATTTAATTTATATAATAATAAATTCAATTTACGTAATAGCTGTTCATTTTCACGACAAACAAGTTCATGATCACGTACTAAGCGATTACGTTGTAGATTAATTTGAACATTTTCCACACTGAATCACGAATGAGATTGTGACAGAAATGAATCAAATTTTGATGAAAAAATTTGTATCGAAAGAAAAAAATCCCAACTTACCGTAAAACTTCATTTTCTTTCATATATTTTCGCAGAAGATTTTGCTGTTCATCGTTATCCATAGATTGATTTTTATCCGAAAATTGTTCTGACGAATCAATCATTGATTGTTGCAGCGGTTGTTGAATACTCCACATTTGATGACAATTTTGTCGTAGATATTGATTTTCCATTCGTAACATACGTACTTCACGTTTTAAACTCAATATAAGTAATTCACGTGGATCCTATTGATGATTAGAATTGTTTATGCGATTCAATTTTTGCAAGAAAATTTATATTTAAAAACAACAACAAAACAAACCATTTGAACCACTGGATTCATTCGTACACGTTTAGCACGTGATGCATATCGTAATGTGCTAATTGTTTCCTGTGAATCACATTTCAATGATGATACACAGGCAATCTGGTTTAATGAAATAAAAACAAACAAACAAAATTAAATTGAAAATATGGGAATGAATAGAATACTGCAAATGAATGATGGATTCATTCATTCAATCATAAGAGTAGGAGAAACATTTACATTTAAAAAAACCAAATGTTTATCATTTGGTTGAAAATGATAAATATTAAATAACAAAAAAAAAAACCATATGTCTCGATTTCGACTACGGAAAAAACGAACATGGTTTCTAATCATTAAACGGCAAAAAGCGAGAGAGAATTCAAATAACAGGGAAAAAATAACATTCTGGCGTTTTTTCTCTTGCCAGGATTCTTCCCTGGGTCAATGAAACCGAAACACACACACACATGAGTTATACAAACGGTTTTTTTCACACAAAAACCAAAACGTTCTGGTTTTCATAAATTTTTCTGGTTTTTTTTATTTCATTTTAATTGTCATCGTCATCATCACGATCAAACCGCGTGTGTGTATGTCATTGTCATTGTCATCGGTTAGAGTTGAATTGATGATGACAATTTTCCAATTGGAACCGAGAAAAAAAACACGCACATGCAATTTTGTCATCATCATCAATGAATTGTTTGATTTTTAATGTTGACAAACAAAAAAAAAATAAAATTGAGAAAACGGTAAATTTCAATTTTTACCTCGATGGCTGATTATCATTTACCCATTCACATTGGAATATTTTCTGAATATGATTTTTCTCACCATCATTGTATATTTGAATGAATTTTTCATTTATTTCTCACTAATCAATCATCAATGTAATCGGAAGAAATTCATTGAAAAAATTTCCTTTTTTTTCACAACAACATTTTTTCCATCATCAAGTTTCCGATAGCACATGATGATGATGATAGAAGAATGTGATTTATGAATGTGAAGGTTTTTTTTCTTTCTTTCTTTCTTTTTTGTTTGTTTGTTTGGTTTATTCTTGTTGAAAAACCAAACTGAAAGGAAAGAAAGAAAAATTGATAAGAAAATTTTCATTCATTCATCCGAAACTGAAAAAGAAAGAAAAATTGATAAGAAAATTAAAACGAACAACATTCATTCATTCAATTAAAAGTTAAAGTTCTGTTGTTTTCGTTGATCATTCACATGTCCGTCGTCGACGACTATGGTGGCAATCATCGCCGACTATATGGCGCGGCCATCATATTACAATTTCATACTAATCATCATTTTAAATATTTGAAACTTGTAATAATTCAGACACAGGAAAAAGAGAAAAGTATTTTTTTCTGTGTGTTCAAGAATTTGTTGTTGTTTGGAGCCAAATGAATGATGTATGTTTTTGATTGAATGAATGAAAAAGACGAACCTTACACATACCCACACACACACACAAATACAATATACAAACACGAATCGTAAATGAAAATAGATTGTTTTTCTCGTGCAGAATGTATGAATGAGTCAGATTTTTCTCCATTCTTAGATAATAAGTAGTATAATAAAATTGAAACAAAAAAAAGAAAAAGAATCATCATTTTGTTACGCAAGCTATGTCGTGCCACGCATTTTTTTTTTTTTTTTTTGGTTTGGCCACAAGACAAGACAAATTCTTTCATTTTCCAATTTTTCCTCAGACCTAGCAATAGCAAAAAGAAGAAGGGAGCAGCCAACGTGATCATCATCATCATCATCATCATCAAATCAAATTTCATTGATTTTTCTCAAATGATGATGCCACCAGTCACACGAAATATATTCGAAAATAAACACAACAAACACAAGAATGTTTGTAGCCAGGCGACCAACCGGCGCGGCTGGCTAGCCACGCATGAATCTATTTATCATTCTATCTATCTATCTATCAATTGAACATTGTTTCAAACTTATTAATGATTATTATGATCATCATCGTTTGTTTTGTTTTTTTTTTGATGAACGATGAAGCAATTAATCAAGATGATGATTGTGTGTGTGTGTGTGTGTGTGCATATTAAACTTAGTTTTTTATAGATAGATACCACACTCACCATCAAAGTCATGCCATTACCCGAAAGACTATCGGCCAATAATTTCGTCAATGTACTATCACGATATGGTATATGACCTGTACGACGTTTTGGATCAGCTAAACAAGCGATACAATTCCCTATAATGAAAAGATTTATTTAAATTACATGAAAAAGTGTAGGATGTAAGATTGGCGGCAAGATTTTCATATTTTGATGATGATGAAGATGCGGCATTTGCATCATCATCAACAACAACAACAACAATCAATTGATGAAGAGATGAAGAGCAAAAAATAGGAAAAAAGAAAAATGATTTAATAATAATCATAATTAATTAGTTTTTTCCTCGATACATAATCGTCGGATGTTTGTTGATAGTCAATCGGGCATTTGGTTGGGCCCAGAAGCTCATCATCATCATCATCATGAAACTAAGGATGGATTTGATTCATGCAAAACAAAACAAAACACATTCATTGGTGGCAATGGATAAAGTAAAAAAATTTGGCAAAAAAGGCGCGGCATTGTGTGTGTGTGTCCGACAATCGCCAAAATGAAATTATTAGGCCGGGTAAAATACAAACGATGATGATGGTGCATGGTGATATGAAAGAAAAAAATTCCGAAAAGCAAAATAAAGCCGGGAATTAATGATATGAAAATTTTTTTTTTTTTTTTGTTTTACCGTTTCATCATCTTTGTTTTTGTTCATAAAAAACTTACCAAGCACAAGTAATGAACGATTTATGTTATTTGCCTCGACAAATGTACCACCTTTACTATTCGTACGTTTAGTTTTTTCACTGCCCGCTAAATCAACTAAACAAAGACGGCCTTCTTTACGGATAAATCCCTTTGATGGATTGATAATTAATCAGCAAATGAAATGAACGAACGAACGAAGACAGGAATCAAAAAGCAAAAAGTAGAAAAAATGGATTAATCATAAACATGTGCGAAATAGTTGAAAACAAAAAAAAATTATGATTAAAATTTCCATCATCATCATCATCATCACGTTTGCAGTGTGTTTTGTTCATTAATCTTGAAAAATCTAAAGATTATCTTGTTGGGAGCCTTTATAGGATTATTTTTTTCTTTCGTTTCCATGTCGGAATCTTATTTTCTTTCTTTCAAAGATTGACTATACCTGTGGATCATCAGGATCGGCAATCTCGGAAAACAAATTGATTGTCATAACTGAATGGCTACGGCTTGAATTTTCATTCATACTGTGGCTTCGTACTTGACGATTTTACAACCTATAAATAGATAGAGATATGCAGAAAATAAAATGAAAAAAAAATTATGAAAATCAATAAGTTTCCGATCAACAACAAACAAAAAAAAACAAAAAAAAAATTGCGCTTCTTCTCTTTTTTGTCAAGTCCAGACGACTAGACACTACTAGTGGCAACTGACAAACAAACGAAACGAACCAAAGAATAGAAAACAAAGATCGACAAAATTTGATAACCCAAAAAACTAGATATCTTGGATAGATAGCAAAGACAATTGAAACAACAACAAGAGAGAAACTTAATTTAATTTTAAATCAAATCAACCCAATCAAACATGAATGTTATTTTGTATTTTGGATATCGATATTTCGGCATTTCGATAGTTTCTCCTTCTATTGTTTGATTCTCACTTGTCGGAATTGATGAAAAACAGAACAATGTTGGTGGCAGCTATCCATATCATTTATCTATCTATCTATTTAATTTATTCGATAAATTGAATCAAAAAAAAGAATGTCGAAGATTCTTGCTTGCCTGATCGATGATGGTGGCTATCTATCTATCTATTTATCTAGTCAGTCTATTCACTGACAAGCCGAAAGCCAGAAGAACCGGTCATCATCATCAACTTAGGTCAGACTCAACACACACACACACACAGATGAATGAACGAAAAAAAACTGTTTGATAATTGTTGATAATTCGATTAAAAACATTCATTGTTATCGATCCATTGTCATTGCCGTTCAAAGATAGAAGAATGAAAGAAAAATAAAAGCTTTTTTTCTCTGGTTCCAAAAGGATTGTCATTACATTTTATTTCAACAAATGGAATGAATTCAATATTCCAAAAAAAAGATAACAACGACAACGACGAAAAAATTGATTATACCGGCCTTTTTCCATTGAGCTGAAAACAACACAGACCACCGGAATGATTAAAAAATACATTTTTCAGATCTATAAATCTCAAAATTCAAATAATACCTAATTGTTATCGATTTGAAATCTATCTATGAATGTAGTAAACTTGCAGTTAAAGTTATAGTTTCAATATATATGTACAAACACACAATGTACATCTCTCGAAGAATGTGGTTCATGAAAGGTTCCCTCTTATTATTTACTGTTTGCATTATTTCATTCTAAATCAAATTCTCAACAACAACAACAACAAAACATTTTGTTGTAATTGGATCAAAAAATTATCGTTTATGATATTTATGATGATTATGATTATGAATTGAATTTCAACAACAATAAATAAAATCAACAACCGACGACAACGACAACGACGACGACGACGTCGGCAAAAAAAAATAATCTATAATAACCCTCACATGAACAATGGCTAATAATAATAATAATAATAACCAAACGACAACAACCAACCAACCGACCAGCAGCAGCAGCAAATTGGATCGGTATTCAATAATATCAAGTGTGTGTGCGTGTGTGTGTGTGTTGATGATGGGAATGAAATATGAAATCACAGAAACATAAGTTTGGGATTTATATTGACAATAGAGAAAAATTGTCAATACAAACACACGACCCAAGACACAATAGATTATGAGTGTATGTGTTTTGTGTGTCTGTGATTATTATTCATATTCATTTAGTTGGATCAAAAACTTATAGACAAAAATATTGAATGAGAGAAAAATGATTATTGTCGTTCATAGCATTGATGGATGAACTATATCTATTATGATGATTATGATGACAATTATTCGATTCGATTGATATGAATCAAAAAAATCCTGGTTATTACTTCTTTGTTTGGTTCTCTGCCTTCTGAAGTGTATTCTCATCATCAAAACATTGCTAACAGTCAAACAGACTAGCCTTGTACTGAATATGAACCGAAAACAATCAATCAATATTTCAAAAATTAGTAATGGATGAATAATCATTGATTGATTGATCGATTATTATTATCGATACATATTTTCATAAATGTCATCATCTATAATGATCGAAAAACAATATTGTTTTTTTTTGTCTAATGGAAAAATATCGCAGTAAGATAGTCGAGATTGTTGTTGACAATTTTGATAAAATTTGCCGAGAAGCAGGAATCGATATCTCTATAAACTAGCTCATAACTGAGAAATTGTTTTTTTATTTCAAGTTGAATTTAAAAATTTTTAAATCTAAATTCAAATGTTTTTTTGGGCATTTTTTAAATTGGAAAAATTTTCTTGTGAATAACAATCGATTCATCAAATCATTCCAGAAACTGAATGTTCTAAATAAAAAAAAACCAGAAATAATAATTAGAAATCAATGGATCAAAACCAATCAAACACACACACACCCTTCATCGTTATATGCACTTGACATTGTTGTCAACACAGAGAAAAATTCAAATTCATCGTTCAACAAAAAAAATGACAAAAAATCACACAATTACACATCAGAAATTGTGTTAGTGTCTTTCTTTTGAGCGAAAAAAATCGTAAATTTTGTTTGTTAAACAAAATCAATTTCATCAACCAAGTACCAACTATCCACCCACAAACACACACATGATCATTTGTATTGTGGACTTTTTTTCTTTCTCTCTCTGTCTATCACAGTTATTGATGCTCATTAAATGACCGAAAATCAAGTCCTTGTTGTTGTTGTTATATGTTGTCCGAATGCTAAATGGATAATGATGGAAGAATGTCATCCAAAAAAACTGGAACCGACTTTTATTCAGAAAATCACTGTGTGTGTGTGAGTGAATTTTGAAAACGATTTCGAGCCAGATTAACGAAAATCAACAAAAACAACAATTTTTTTTCGTTGTTGTTTGGATGCTCACTGTACTTGTCAACAACACACACACATACACACAGAACTTGTGTAATTCAAATTTCAAAAAGTTTGAATTACACAAGTTCCTTCAAACAACAACAACAACAAAACATACCATTACATACACAGAGAAAAATACTAGACTATAATATAGTGTAGTGATTGTTTTCTGGGCATCAAATTTTAACATCATTAATTTTAAATAAAATATAAAAAAAACAACAACATAACCATTTGGGAACCACATTCATTCATTCAAATGGATTGCAATTGAACAGAAAAAAAGGAGCGAACAATTTCTGGATTCTCAGTATGGTGGCCATTCATATTATTCTATTGAGTGTGTGTATGGAAATGACATCTTTCATAACACACACACACACATAGAGAGAGAGATACAGAGGACATGTTTTTTTAGTTTGACTAATTGATGATCTCACTGTGTGTGTATGTGCATACGCCATTCCAATTGGATTCACAATTCACAATCATCATCATCATTATTGTTGTTTGGACTATGGACGCCCAGCATGTTTCTAGATTTTTGTCAGCCCTTTTTTCTAGCTGACTGCATAGATCTGCTTTCTTCAAATTCATCGTCAAATTTTATCAAATGTCATATATTGATGACCACAAATATACCGATATGGTGATCTATTGTGGTCTTCAACCCCAGTGATTATGCAAAATAATAGGTGAATGGATGTGGATGGAGCAAATTGAACTCAATTTTTGTTCATTGAAAATTATCTAAAAATGATGTTCAGTGAAAAACAAATCTAAATCCATTAGGTAATGATAATGAGGATGTTTTTTTAAATTGAAAAAAATAATGATCATATCGTGGAGTAATCACAATAAATGAAAGAATCATCATCATCATTGATGATGATCTGAATAATGATGGATAAAATGGGGCCATTCATAGCGAAATCCTTTACAGGATTGAAGGATTCATCATCATGGATTATCAACGACAAATGATTTTTATATAAAAAAAGAAACACGAAAACTAACCTTCTTCAAGTACGCCTTCAAGATCGCCCAAATCTTCACATTCAACTTTGAATAGATTTTCAGCATAGAAACCACGATCTTTTGACCAACGTACATTTAATGATCGTGTGGATGGATTCAATAGATCCAGTACCTGAGAAAAAGAGAAAGAAAAGCATAGAAATTCAAAAGTCAATTTTTTGTGAAATTAATGTCAAAAAAAAACTAAAAATACAGATCATCATCATTCTCATCTGTGCACACATATATAATCCATTATCATGGATAACGGATTTATTTTGATTCATTTAATAAATTCAAAGCTTTCAATAAAGATGATGATGATTTAGAATTAATAGATTGAGAAATTTTTTGAAAAATTTTACCTGTTCATTATAAACCTCTAGATATGAAACGGTTATTATATAAAGTAATGTTTGATCACGACTTTTACGTCGTTTTATCTGTTCAAATAAATATGCAAATGATAGCTGTATAATACCAATATTTGGTGAGGAATTTTTCATTGTTTCGTCGATATTCAATGATTCATTGATGGAATCTGGTGGCTGTGATTTTGAACGTCGTTTATTCGACGACGATGATGATGTTTTCTTCGCAGAATTTCCAGCTGATGAATATCGTGCAAACTGAAATGCATTTCCGGTTAGTGTATATGTTTTTCCAGTACTTGTTTGTCCATATGCAAATACTGTACATGCAAAACTTGAATGTGAAACAGAAAAAAATTTATCCGAAATTTAATTATGAAAATTATCATTTGTCATTTACCCATCTAATGCCATATCGATTAATCTTTTAACACCAGAATGTTCAAACACTTGTTCTTGGCTAGCTTCAGGTTCAAATACAACATTAAATGCAAATGATCGGCTTACATTGGCAATGGTATCTTCAACCTGAAAGGGAACAAAAAAAAAATTTAATCAACATCAATTGAATGGCGCCATAATGTCGTAAATGTGCAGAAAAAAATTTTTCCTGATTAAATCTTGTTTATCATTATCATTTTTTTTTATTTTTTTAGATTTTACCTGAATTTGACCAGCCGCTGGAAATGTTATAGCCGTCAATTGATGATGTTGTTGATGATGATGAGCATCAATTTCACCACCACCACCATTAACATACTGTTGTCTTTGGTCCGTTGTTGTTGTTGTTGTTGAATTAATCGTGCTCGTCTTCGTCGTAGTTGTCTCGGCTCGTTGGCTAATCAATTTATTCAAGTTGCTGCTGTTGTTATTATTTGTTGTCGTCGTCAATGATGTTGACGTTCGTGGCCGAGTAATTATGGGCCTCACTCTGTGTTGTTGTTGTTGTATGTTCAGCCATCAAGTCAAACAAATAACAACCAATCAGCCAACAACAACAAATCGAAACCATGAAGAATGTCGACAACAACAGCGTAAATCAACAATGAAAAAAAAAGAAAAATCATTAGACGAAGAAGAAAAAAAGCAGTAGAAAAAATCTGGTCTTCGTTGTGAAAAATTTAAAAGTAAATGGACCCTCTGGGTCTTCTTGTTTACCCATCATCATCATCATCATCATCCATCAAAATCCATCAACAACAAGGACCTCAAACCTTGGGGCTTAACATCATTGTTGTTGTTAAACATGCAGATAGTTTAGGTAGTTCAGTTAGGTCGTCGACCACGACTACAACAACAAAGAGCGAACAAACAACGATGGTGGTGATGATGATGGTTGTTTGTTGTTGATGATGACTTTATTATTATTCTGATTTGAACTAAAATGATTTTTTTCCACCTTTTCAAAATTGCACATTCACACACACTGAGGGAGAGAGATTATCATCATGTGGATAAAAGTAAGTAGTGGCGATGATAACACAAGGTGATAAATCATTACCAACGAGAAAGAAAGAAAGAAAAAAAAATCGACATTTTACATTACCTGCAATTTAAATGGAATAATATTTTTTTTTCTCGTTGAAATTTGATACCACAAAAAAAACAAAGCGAAAAAAAATTGCTAAACAACAACAACAAAAATTTACTAACCTGATGACAACATTAATATTATGTTCATTCTGGCCCGGCGATGATGACGATGATGATGATGATGATTGATTCAATAATGATGAATCATTGATCATTTCATTATCATTAAACATTATGATTATTATTGATAATTAGATTTTTCGACGGATAATAATTTAGATTTCATTAAATTTTGTTTTTTGATCCCAGGATAATAAAAAAAAATCAACAAAGTGAGTGTGAGAACAAAAATTTGCTAGCCTAAAACAACAACAAAACGATTCATAACAGCAAGGCAATGAACGAATGAGCCAAAAACACACACACACAGGAAACCATGGTAACCGTTTGTCTAGTTCCAGAAACAACAAACAAAAACAAACAGAATTTCTCAATTCTAATTTTGTTTCGATTGTTATTATCCATAAATCAGAAAATCAACCGATAATTTCAGAAAAAAATTAAAGTGAGAAAACTATCATTATCATCATGAAAACGGTATATTTAACATGATGGTGACCACACAAGTTGTTGGTGGTGGTCATCATCAATTTAAATGTCCATGTAAATATCATTGACATGATGATGATGATGATGATGATGAACATTCAATAATCATCATCATCATTTTTCCATCAAAATTCAATGATCATGGTGGTCATCATCGTGTGAAAATTGCATAGATGATGATAATATTATGCATATATGGGAAAAAACCCCCATAAGATAACGAAATCGATATCAGTTTTCAGATGAAAACCAAGTATCCCATCAACATTGCATCAATGATGTCCATGTGTATGTGTGTCTTTTCAATCAAAGATCAAATGAAAAAAAATTATCGACATTCAAATTTGCTTTTTTCCACAATCAATCGATACCTCTCTAATCGATGAGGTTGTTCGAAAAACTTGTTTAGAGACACACTTTCAATGGCAAGTTTTTTTAACCGAAACAAAAAAAATTATCCCGAAGAAGAATCTTGCAAGAATGAAAAAAAAGATTAAAGATAATTGACTTTGACCATGATGATTATGATTATGATGGTCAAAGTACGATAATCTTTGAAAAACAAACAAACAAATCGTTGGCCATCACGATAATCAGATGGATCATCATTTTGAAATGAAAATTTTTTTTCATTCTCCTCCTTCATCATGATGATGATGATGATGTCTAAAAAACCTACAATCATCAGAAGAATGTGATGATTTTGTTTCCTTTTTAAGAAAGAAAGAAAAAAGAAAAAAAGATTCATTCGTTTGATTTTATCAATAAAACAAAAATACTTCATCACTAATACCTGGTAACTAGAACTGACAATTATCATCAACAACATCTTGTTGAGAAAAATTGTTTGCGCGCGCGAGCCATCATCATCCTGAATGGATAATGGTGTGATGATGATCACATGTATCGTGTGTGTGTGTGATGTATACAAAATGCCAAACATACCAGAAAACAGAAATCGATGGATCATCATGATGATGATCATGGATAAAATGTCAGCCAAAAAAAGGTATTGTGATGGTGGTGGATGGTGGAAAAAACACATCAACATGATGAAAATCGTTTTTCCTTCTTCTTCTTCTTCTCACACTGTACACATAACATAATCTTGGTTGGTGGCCTCGTCGTCTTCTTCATCGACGTCGTCGTCGTTTTCGATGTCCATTTGTCTGTCTCGCGACGACGTCGACGATAACTATCGTCGATCTGTCTGTGGATCATTGAAAAAAAAATTTTTTTTCACATTTCACACACAAATGGAGAAAATATCTTCAATCACCAATTTCTTCGTCAATGTGTAACAGATATCGTGGCGATTTGGTTGTTTATTTGTTTTTTTTCGAACGTTTTGCCTCGAATTAGGGATAGTTTGATGATGATGATCACTGATCAGTGATGATTGGCCATTGGCCATATCGCTGAAAAAAAGAAAAAAAACATTTGATAATTCGTTTCACAGCCAACAAATTCTTCATCACCTTG